ATTAGATAATCCCTTCTTCTCCGCGGCCCTTGTCAGCAATCATAGTCACCAACCCCCCCCCCCCCCCACCCCTACCCACAACCAAAAAAAAACCAACCCCAAAAAAATCCACCAACAAATTTGAAACCAGAAAGAATGAATGAGAGAGAGAGAGAGAGTGTATAAAGGAAAAACTTTAAAGGTAAAACAGAATACCTGAAAGCACATCAATGACCCCATAAAAACCCAGATTTAACAGAATATTCCCAAAAAGAGAAGCACAATTTTGTTTAAAAAACTCTTTGTTTACCAAAAAGAAGATAAAAATTCTGTCAATAAGCACCCCAGAAATTAATTTTGAACGGGAAAAGATTGTAACAATCCAAGCAACTGCGACTGTTCTGCCATTGAGCTTGGTTCACATAAGATTTATTATCTGGGGAAATTAACAAAAACCACAAGATTCAAACAAAACAAAGATAAACATCACCTTCAACCCATACAAATTCAATGTAGAGAAAACAAATTGAGAAAGAAATGAAATTTTGAGGGGGTGTTTAGCAGATTACCGTAGTGGAAAGATCTGCATTCTCAAAAATGGGTCTCCAAGAGAAGATTGTGACTGAAGACTTGTAGTTTGAAATACCCTCATCTGTATATCTAGCCAGTAGGAAATGGGTGAAGAGAGAGAAAGCAGAAAGAACTAGCCCAACTAAGCCAACCCACTTCAACTTAGACTTGAACACCATCTTCCCTTCCCCTTTCATCGACACCCACCCACTTCACCTACACACAAACAAAAAATACACAATCACCACTTCTCTCTCTCTCTCTCGCGGGTTTCAGGAGAAGGAGAGGTCAGTGAAAGTCAAGACTTACTCAAAGATAGAAGGCTGCTCGTGTGAGGACAGCGATTGTTTAGTTGGAGAAACGGAGAGAGAGAGAGGACCCAAGGATAGTGGTGGTGTGCTGGTACATTGCTGGTTGTTACCCCACTCTCTCTTCTATCACGTGACCTCACTACCTTCTCAAAAACAGAAAACAAAATTGTCCTGACGCTGTCTTACCAGCAGAAGAGGCGCGTGAATCAAATACCTCTCTGTTTGACAATTTTATGGGAAGGAGTCACGTGGGCTCGGTTCATTTGTCACGTGATATGAAAGCTTTTTGCAAAGCTCCGGATATGGCACCTGTGGACTATGGAGTCTCCGTCCTTTTCTGATAGTGGTCCATATGGGTGTATAGTGGTCCATATGGGTGTTGTAAGAGAAAGATCCGAGGAGATATTTTATGGGCAATAAATTCAAAAAAAAAAAAAAAGGACAATGGATATGTTTATCCAAAACTATCTTCTTGATATCATAAGGAAAAAAAAATAATTAATATTAATAGATTTTCTTTTCTTTTTTTGTGATCATAGAAAAATAATAAAAATTAGTCAAATTAAAAATCATAGATACCATATTTATATTATATCGACAGAAGTTGGCGTTAGTGTAACCATAAAAGTTGTTTCATCGTAATTTGGATATTTAGGATTTGACTGAGTCGCAAAAAGAATCTTTATTTGTTGGATAGAATTATAGATATCTAACCATTTTCAAATGTTACAGTGATAAAAATATAAATTATTTTTTAGCTTAGTCATATCTGGATTAATCATTTCATCGGTCTAGTCAAAGTCAGGTAATCTGTACTTAAACTAAACTATTCATAAGAGATAAATCTTTCATATAAACATTTCAAACAATTGTCAAGATTCAAATTCAACACGTCTAAATCTAAAACTCGTACTTATTATCATTTGAACTACTTTTTTGAATTATATCAAACTTTTCAGTAAAATAATTGGATATGCTCAAAAGAAAATTTAATATCTTACCAAAAAAAGAAGAAGACGTGCGAATAATAGAACTTGTGACCTAGAAATTTGGATTTCTCTATTTTTTATTTTATTTATTTGACTTTTTCTATCCCATGGTGGGACAGTTTTCTAAATCCTAATAAGTGAATGCAATTATTTAGGCAGGAGAACGGTTGGGAGATTTATTGCTTCACTTGGAAGATGGCCTGAAGGACTTACCAGCTTTGGAGTAGATGTAGTTTTGAAAGTTACCCCTTAAATGGCCATAAATATAAACTCTCTCTCTCTCTCTTTATATATATATAATATATATTTCTTTAATTTTTTAAATATTTTTTTAGGAGTAATTACAAAAGACACACACGACGGCTCACCAACTTTGTCCCATTAATATTTTTTTTGACGGAGATATTCGGGTACAACTTATGCACACCTCTATTAATTTTTTTTTCAATTTAGTTAAAAGTAAGTCATCTACGTTGGATTTAGGGTATTCATAAACGATAAATCTCTCATAGTCTGGTTCCAAAAAATTTTTAATATTCGAATTCAGGACGTTTAAATTTACATCTCGTTCCATTACCACTTGATTTATCCTACCCTGATCGATTAAACTTGAAAGGGTAAAAAATTACTTTTTATAATTTTTTTTTACTTCTAACTCTTATATTTAAATACTTTCGAGTTCCAAATACCTTTTCCTCTTATGTGCATGTTCATAAATATTTTTACAAGTTTTCATTAGTATTTTCGTAAGTGATCTCACGTCATAGTTGAATTAATAAAGTTTTTACTAATTAACTCGTCTTTCATGTATCAAGATGAATTTACAATTTAACTAAACAGGATGAATTCTAAAAATCATTTACGTAACTAGTTAGACTTGACCACTATATAACGAGACAGATTAAAACCGCTATTTAGGTCTAATTTATTAACCACTTAAATAAACCCGGGTCGCTATCATATATTTTATCTGGTTTCATATTTTCAGCTTCATTTGGGTGTTACAAAATCCTTAGCTATAGAAGGGTGTATGTACAATTATTAGAAGCAAATGGCAAGTATCACATACAACTAATGTAAATAATTCTTGCAGTGCTATATTTATCCCTTTCCATCTTCATCATTAACAAAGCCTTAAATGATTGACAACACTTATTTGGAGGAAAAAGACAAGCTCTGCTTCAGTGGAAAAAGAAAAAATAGCAAAATCCTATTATTAATTTAATTTAATATTTTCCTGTCAGTTGCTTTTATAATTTATTCAAAAATAGGCATGTGCAGTGCTAATTATTTAACTACTCCCTCAGTCCCTTGTCTGTTTTTTTTGGTTGAGTCATGCTGCTTAGATCCTTTTTTTTTTTTAGGGAAAATTTCAATGACATCCCCTTTAGCTTATCATATTTTCAAGGACACCCCTCTAATTTTTGAATCTTCAATGACACCTCTTCTAGTTTAATTTAAACATCACTAACACCCCTTACCATTAAATTACTATTTCTAACAAAAATAATTCATCAAAAATACCAAAAATGCCCCTACATAACCTAAAGTAATCTTTTTACATTAAATTTTATTAAAATTCAAGCTGTTAAAATTTTTAAAAAATTATAAATAACAATTTTAGTAAATAATTTGTTAGTAAATACTAATTTTTATTTACTAATTCGTAAATTTTTTAAAAAAATCGAACCTATTAAAATTTTATTTGACATATTATAATTTGAGTCGATTTGAACTTTACCCGAGTTGTTAGCGCTGATTAAAATTATCTTTCAAGTCGATTAAAATTTATGTTTTTTTACTTATTAAAATTAGTGTCAATTAAAATTATATTTATTAAAATTTAAGTCAATTAAAATTAATATATTTTTATATATTAAAATTTGGGCTGATTAAAATTTAATGCGAATTAATTAAAATTTGATTTGAGTAGATTAAAATAATTTTTAATTGGCTCAAACAAAATTTTAATTAGTCCAAATTCTAATACGTAAAAAAAATATAATTTTTAATTGACGCAAATTTTAATATGTAAAAAAATAAATTTTAATTAGTTTGAATCTAATTTTAATCAGTTCAAATTTAATTATGTAAAAAAAATTAGAAAACAGAAGGGATCTCATTGAAAATATACTTATCTAAAGGAGATCTCATTGAAGATATGTTTATCTAGAGGGGGTGTGGATGACGTTTGTCGTCAAATATATCATGGGCAATTTAGTAAAATTGCATTCTACTTAATATTTTTAATCTAACAAGAGTGTTATTGAAGATTCAGAAATTAAAGAGGGTGTCCTTGAAGATATGATAAACTAAAAGGAGTGTGGTTGAATTTTTTCCTTTTTTTTAATGTTAAGCTGGTAATTTTGTAATTTTCTGCAAGATCCAGTACAAAGTAGATGATTCCATAATAGAATAGCTGTAATATATTATTTATTATTTATTATTGATAATTAAACATTAGGTGCTTTTTATTTTATATGCGTACCTCCGTCAATTCCCGTCATTATTTTTGAATTAGATGATTTGTAATAATTAGTAAAAATAAATTAAAAAAAGTGAAAAAAAATTATGAAATAAAAAAACTATACACATGACACATTTTTATTAGTTAAAAAATGAAAGTACAATACCAAAAAAATACTTTTTGGTATCGTAATGGAACAATTATTACAACCAAACTTTCTATTTTTAAAAAAATTATTTTTCGATATTATAGTGAAGCAAAATGCTTCCCTTAAAAGAAGCACAAGTGAAATGATACCTAAATCCGATTGGAAAACTACCAACAATGCTACTTAGGTTACATTGGCAATATGTAAGACTAATAATCGAATCGAACTTTACGAGTTCGAGTCAAATTTTACAAAGTCACATCTAACTTGTCGAGCCTTTTTTTAAAACGAGCCTAAAATTTTATTCAAACTTAGCCCATTTAAAAAATGTGTCAAGTTTGAGTAGAACTGAACTTAAAACAAATTGAACTTGAATTCAACTGTATTACATATAAACAAGCCGAATTTGTGAGCTCAAACCAAGCCTGTTTAGGCTCGTTTTCTAAACAAATTTAAAAATTTTTTTAGTTCATCTAGAACACAAGGCAAACTTGAATCGAGTCCTATCCAAATCAAACTCGAATAACTCCGCTAAATTATCAACCCCAGGAATAAGAACTTCAAAAGGTCTGTGTGTGTCAAGGGGAAAGCAATGACCCATGTAAGGGGTAGAACCTTTGCCAATATCAAGCATTCATAATCTCTAGAATACTCATTCTGTAGAAGCAGCTCATTTGTACTTTTACATATACCTTGTGATGTGTTCTATCGCCGGTTCTATTTGAGCAAATCACAGGGTGCAGTGAAAAAGAAAATTTGAAGGAAAAAAAAAAAAAACAAGGGGAAAAATAACTGTCATTCAGTTACCCTCTCATCTATGCTGGTCATTTTCCTAAGCTCCACTTGTTGATGCTCTATCCGGCTCATCACTCCTGAAATATCGTCTCCCGCAAAAGAAATAGCATCTTCTCTCACAAGACGCCTCTGTTGTATCTTTAGTATAGCCTGTGAAATTTCTGCAATTGACGGGCGCTTTTTGGGTGTTTTGTGCAAGCATTTGTGAGCAATGCTAGCCAGTCTCCTTACTTCTTCGGGGTTACATTCCCCAACAAGTTTATTGTCAAGTATTTCATCCACACCATCCGAACTCATAGCCGCCTTAAAGAGTAATAACAAAAAGGGAACAAAGTTAGAATATATAGCAGAGAAAGCATCACAAGAGATGAAATCTGATGTGAATATCAAAGAACTTACAAGATTGACATATTCCATTAAGTTTTGTTGTGGATGGATGGCCGTGATGAGTTCAAATAGAATAATACCAAAACTATAGATGTCACTCTTCATTGTGAACTTGTTTGTTGCTATGTACACGGGATCTATGTAGCCATAGGTACCTTTAAGGCCCGAATTGCAGCCATCAAAAATCTCTTCCTTGGACAGCCCAAAATCAGCAACCTACTTACACGGAGGAAGGGAGAACCATCAAAACACAGGTAGACATGCCAGACATTACCTGCCATTCTAAGAAAGCATGGATATGCAGGTATCCATTATCTACACAGATAACACCTACTTTTCATGTCAATAAATCATTGCAATACATACACAGTGGCGGCACCTGGGATTTTCTTCTGTGGGTCAGTCTGATGGGGAAGGGGGACTGACGAGGAGTTGGGGGGGGGGGGGGGGGGTTT